ATAAACACGTTTATCCATTCCTCTGTTGGTGGTCGTATAGCCCACTACCAAGCTGTGGCTGTTATGAACTGTGCTGCTGTAATCATGGGTATGCATATACTTCTGTAATATGATGTCTCTAACTCTTTCAGGAAGATACTTAGAAGGGGAACCCAGCCATACCTTCTTATAAGTAACATTACAGTAAGCCATATGAAAAATTCCTCCAAGCTCTGTTTATTTTCTTAGTGTATTGTCCTAGAAGTAGAATTCAAGGTCAAAATTGCTGTCACTCTTACATCTCATGTGTGTCCTGAATTCTTTTCCAGAACAACTTTATCTCATGCTCCAGGTCATGCGGTGCCCTGGCACTGGGGCTCCCACTCAGGGGAGGCTTGTGCTCATCCTTGCCCAGGCTGGGGAAGCCCAGGGAGATGCAGGGCACAGACACAGTATTAGATGGCAACATAGCCTCAATCTCAAGGGTGGCACCAAGTCCTAATGTTTTTTTGTTTTGTTTTGTTTTTTGGCAGAACCAGGGATGGAACTCAGGCCCTTGCACTTGCCAAGCAAGCACTTATTCTACTGAGCTATCTTCCCAACCCTGCTAATGTGGTTTAAAGAGCACACAGTTGAGGTTTTGGAGCACGTGGCCTGGTGCCCCAGAGGGGGCTGAGCAGCAGAGGAGCAGGAGGACTGCAGCCAGCTTCCAGCAGAGTTAACACTTGTTTGGACTGTGTTCCTGACAGATGACATGGGATAGGACAGGTCCTTGCTGTGAGGTTGCCCTGAGGGTTGTGGAGCATTTTGGCTTCCAGGGCCCACAGGAAAACACTGGAGCACTGTCCTGTCTCGCTGTGTGTCATCAGTCTATACAAAGCATGACTACCTCTGGGTTCCAGCAGTCCTCAGGTGGCTCCTGGTGAGCAAGCATGCAGCAGTGTGGACACAGCCTGCACATCAAGAGGTGGCCAAGGAGGGGCCTTTCTCAGACACAGTCTGAATGCATTGCCCTCTCTTGCCTGCAGCTGTCGTAGGGAGGGGCACGGTGCACTCTGTGCAGGGTGAGCCCATGACACTCAGGCAGCCTCCTCACACAGCATAGAGTTTAGCCAGTAGGCATGGGGAGGACAGAGGGAAACTCCCAAAGCAGCCACTAAACTACACGTGGTCTGGAGGAACACACTCAAAACAGCCATGGTGTCCCACACTGGCCACCCTTGAGGAGAAAGGGAAGAGAAGGCACTTCAGCAAGCCAGAGAAACAACAGATGTAGAGGAATCATGGCATTTTAAAGGCTAGGGTAAGCATGGTGGCCCATCCCTGTAATCCCAGGTTTCAGGAAGCTGAGGCAGGAGGATCACCATGAGTTGAGTCCAGCTACATACTGATTTGCCTGCTATACTTAGTGACTTTGTTTTTTTTTTTTTTTTT